GCGGGGACCCCAAGCTCTTCCTCCCACCGCACCCGATGGTCTACCAAGTGGACTCCCATGGAATGGGAGGCGCCAGGGCAGGGGGGCCAGGCCCCAGGTGGGGGCAGCCTGCTTTGGTTCTGAGTAGGAGCCCATCAAAACAGGGACCACCATAGCGTTATTACCCGGGGAAGCCCCAGACATCAGAACATCCCCTAGGAGCCCTGGTCTAACTCCCACCCCGTTGTTCTGGGCAGACGCCTGTCCCCCAAGAAGGCCCTTGGCATCTGGGTCAGGCTCTCCAGGCAAAGCTACCACAGCCACTGCCCCCCACCACAAGGCCACCACTTACCAAAGTGAGGCAGGTGATCGCTGGGAATGACCACGAGCTGGCCTGACTGGGGGTCCCTGACGAACTGGTAGGCCGACGGCAGGGAGCCCCCCAGGCCAGGCGGGAAGGCAGGTGCCATGCCCTGGTGCAGAGGTGGGGGGCCCAAACCTAGGAGAGACCCAGGCCCGAGTCAATGCTAGGGGCTGGGGGCCCAGGACGACCCCAATTCTGTCCATTCCCGAGACGCCCCCTTCCTGGGGTCTCCGTGCAGGAAGCTGAGGGGTGACAGGCCGCAAGCCAACCACCCCTGGGTACCACCTCCAAACGAGCTCAACAGAGGGACCCCCACGAGGCCAGCGTCCTAGCAACCGTCCTCTTCAGACACGTGAGGCAGCCAAAGCGTCTGCAGAGGGGAAAGGCCCGGGCCCCAGCAACAGGAAGACAGGAGCCAGCTCGGGGCGTGGGTCCCACACGAGACTCCCCTCCACCCACAGTCCTGCCCCAGCCCCCTGTTCCAGTAAGAACTACGTCAGGCCCGCTCCGTCCTCAACCGCCAGACAAGGGGGAAGTCGCCCGCCCCACACCTACCGTAGGGGTGTCCGGCGAGCCACATGGACGCGCTGCCCGAGCGGGGCAACCAGGGGGGAGTGGCCAGGTGGGCTGCGGGGTCGGCGGACCAGCGCCCCGAGCCTGCCAGCGACGGGCCCCCGGTCACCATGAGGTTGGGGTTCAGGCCATTAGCAGCACAGCTGGTGGGGTGCAAGCGAGCCAGGTCGGCCAGCTCCTTACTTTCTCTGGAAGGAGAACAGAGGCATTGGCAACCGCCCAGCTGGCCAGGGGGACGTGGGAGAGATGGGGTGGCGCCCCAAGTACCCAGGGGACACCCAGCGTAAAGAGGGGCGGGCTCAGCCTCAGAACAGAAGGGCCCCCGGGGCTTTCCCCCAGGAGGGGGACCCACACTGACTGTAGAGAGCGGCTGTGGGGCCATCTGGCCTAGGATCAGGGGCCAGGGCAGCTCAGGCTCTCAGGACAGGGGGCCCCACCCACTTAAGGTCGCCCTCCCTGGCCCCTCGCCCCTCCCCCCCAAGCCCTCACCTAAGCAGCTTCTCCTGGTCTCGGTCCAGCCGCGCCCCCAGCAGCCGCTCCTCCCGGTGCCTGGCCCTTTCGTCCCCACAGTCGTCATCAGCTCGACCGTGTCCTGAGGGGAGCAGGCAGGCAGTGAGCCCCCAGCAAACACCCCCTGCCGGCGCACCTGCACCCACCCCCGAGTGCCGGTGTGGACCTCGCCCGGGCAAGTGCGGGTGCCGCTTCACCACTGCTGTGCCTCGAAGGCGGGTTCTGGGGGCGGGGCGGGTCAAGACGGAGGGGAAACCACAACCCAAGAAAGCAGCACAGCCAGACCCAGGTCCCAGGGAAGCACCTGCCACGCTCAAGCCCCACTGCGGTCCCGTCGTGGTTCTGACTGTTGCAGACACGTGGCTAAGCCTTCTCAAATCAGGACAGTAAAGTAAAACTCGAGAACGCAATCCACGTCAGGGGGAAGGGGGGAGGACGGAAAAACGCGGGAGCTGCCCCTTCGGCTATACCTTCCATGAGCTGCCCGACCCCCCGAGAGCCCTCAGAGCAGAGAAGGCGGGTCCCCAAGTCCGGCCTGGCACACAGCCGTCTGGTCCGTCCCTCCTCCCCCTGCCACCTTCCACCAGCTCCAGCTCCCGCCCCGGGCCCTCTCTCGGGGTGTGTTCCGCACACGCCAGAACCCAGTGTACATGTGGCAGCCCCGGGCAGGCTAGGGCACGGTCGCTGGCCGCAGTGGCCTCACAGAAAGCAGCGGAGACGCTGCTCAAGAGAGAAATGCACTGGGACTGGCGCCCAGTCCGCTGCATCTCGAGAGGCCCGGCGGACCTGGGAGGGGCGCGCAGGGAGGAGGCCTCGCCTCGCCGAGGCGCCAGCACAGGTGCTCCGCGCCGGACCAGGGGTCTGGCAGCGGCCCCCGCACTCAGGGAAATGCTGCCATCAGCCATCTCCCCTTCGTGTCTCCCCTCTGCCCACCCAAAACTGGGAGCGAGCAAAGAACAGAGCCCCCAGGAGAGGCTCGGCAGGGTGCGCCGTGTTTCCCCCCCGCCAAGCCTTCAGGAAGGCGGGAGCCTGACGGCCCCAGGACAAAGGACAGGAGCCCGGAGAGAGGCACACGCCCGTGGACCAAGCACACGAGGAGACAGACAGCAGCGCTGGGGAGGGGCGCACCCCAGAGGCAGGAGGGGACACTGGGCCGGGAGACCACCTGGGAGGACAGCCTGGAAGTCCCGGAGGCGGACCAGGAGGACAGGAAGTGCAGTGAGCATCTAAGCTGAGACAGGCCGACAACGGGGGCATCCAGAGGCCAGGCAGGAGTGAGGGCGGGCGAGGGAGCACGTGTCTTCACAACCTGGCCCCTGTGGGACACCGAGGTGCCTCCCTGCTACGTCGACTATCCACGCGGGCTGCAGTCGGCAAAGTCGCTGAGCCCACTTCACTTACACCGGCTCAGAGTTGCTGTGGTCTCACCCGGCCCGGCCCCGGGGCAAGCAGGGGAGGGGCCCTCCGTGGGAGAGCAGTGCCACAGCCAGCCTGGGGGGAGTGTCAGTGCGGCTCCTGTAACCGCAGGGATCCTGAGACCACCCACCTGCTAGATGACGGAGTAGAGGGTCCCTTTAGGGAATCCCCCGGGGTGGTCAGGTCCGGAAGGGCAGCCCAGGCTTCAGACAAGGCCGAGGTGTGGACGACCCCCCAGAGTCCCAGGGCCGGGCTGGGAAATTAGAGCATGCGCCCCAGCTCCCTTCTCCAGGCGGAGAGATGGCCTCCCAAGCCCATGGAAACCCCAAGGGCCCTCCTGCCCAGCGGCCCACCCTGCATTCGGGGACAGGACTTAGCAGTGACTCCTGGAGTCCCCAAAAGGGACAAGGGCCTAGAGGGTCACCTAGCCCCGAGCCCCCTTGTCCGATGTCTGTTGCCCCGTCACCATGCAGGGTGCCAGTGGCTTCCCATCCCCTGTACACGCCTGTCCCTCCTGCAGAACCCCAGCCCCACAGAACCATGCCCCGGTCACCACAGCTCTCTGTATTCACCACACTCAGGGCGCCACACGCTGTTCCCGACACCCGGAGTGCCCTTCCCCTAGACTATTCAGCCTTTCCTGTCAGAGTTTAGCTGAAATGCCACCTCCCCCACGAAGCCCTCCCTGACCACCTCTCCATCAAGCTCTCGCTTCTCTCCCTCCCCGCACTGATCACGACGGATTGCTGTTCTGCTCGCTGGCTGTTCGCCCTCTGTCTTCTCCATCGGATTCTGTACTGCTCTGGTTTAAGGAGTCCCACTCCTGCCTGTGTGCCTCCTTCCCTACCCAATACCTGGCCAAAGGGAAGCGACTCGATAAACACGCGGAGAACGAATTAACGGATAAATGAACCGACAGAGTCACAAGAAGATATCCAGGAAGAGTGAGAGAAGCGAAGGCAAGGGCAAAGGCCCTCAGACAGAAGTCTGCCAAAGAACATCAGGGAGGCCATGGGGGCTAGACGGAATAAAAAGAAGGGCGCAGGAGGGGAGACCACAGAAGGGGTGAGTATAGACCGTAGGGCCTTGTAGGCTGTGGAAGGGAATGTGGTTCAGGTTTTGTTCAAAGTGAGAAGGGAAACCAGAGGGCCCATCACCTCTCCGTGCTGAGTGGTGGTGGGAGGCCAGCTCCTGCACGAGGCAGACGTGCGGGGCAGGCGCGGGGCCCCCTCCAATGTCCCAGAGGCACAAGACCCCATCCCGGCCCTCCAGACAGGAGTTGTGGAAACAACCCACATCTCAAGGCCACTTCTAGGTGCAGGAGGCCCCCGGATCTTCTCCGGGCATTCACTCATTCAGGAGTCATCAACCCAGGAGGTAAGCCCCAGCCGTCTTCCCGCTCTAGGTTAGGAAACTGAGGCACAAGAAGACAGAGCCACCTGCCCAGGTCACAGCACCGACTGACAAGGAGGCCTCCTGGCTGGGATCGGAGTCTGAGCGGGTCTTCCAGATCAGTGTGCCTCCTGCGCTTCCCACGGAGAGCGGGCACGGGATGGGTGCCAGGGAAACAGCAGCCTTGCTCCCGGGGCCCACAGCCATGCAGCGACAGCCTCTCCGAGCGGGGCTGAGGCTGGGACCGAGGCCTGGTGCCCTGGCCTCCGTGAACGTGTCGGCAGATGTGGCTGCCACCGGCTCCGGGGTCTGGGGCCATGGCCGGGGCTTACACTCAGGCGACCCCAGCTCTGCCTGGAGCGATGCGGGCACGTCCTCACAACCCCTCCCCCCAGATCTACCCCTAACGTGACTCCATCACAGAGCTGATGCCAACAGGCGAGACGAAGAGGGAAGAGACACAGGCCTGGGCCGAGGCTTCAAGCTCAGTCTGCCTCTTCGAGCCCGAGCCCTGGGACCCTGGCCAAGCCACTTTGCCTCCTCGCCCACTCTCCCCAGGGATGAAGCTGGGAGGGTACCAGAGCCTGGGCTGGTTCTACCTAACGACCGAGTTCTCCCACGGCTGTGCCGCGCTTCGGGGCAGAGGCCACGGATCGCTGGGACTCACAGGCGTAGGTCACGCCCCTCCTTGGTCCATCTCAGGGCCCCTGAGGGCCCACGGGGATGTTACTCCAGGAGGATCTAGGACTCACAGGCACTGTCAGAAGCTCCCAGACCCCAACATACTAAATGCAAACCAAGAAAAGGCAGGCCTGTTCATGAAGCACCTACTATGTGTCAGGCAGCCACGTGGTCCACGTGGACACTGGGGCCCAGAAGGCTCAGGCCTCTTGTTCAAGGTCACGGAGCTGACGGACAGACGGGACATGAACCCACCGACAGGCAGAAGGCTCACTCTGAAACTCTGAGACGACAGGGAAGATAGGACGAGACCGGGAGACCCGGGCTGACGGCCACCCACTCAGCCGGGGGCGCCCCCCACTCCTGCCCTCCCACAAGGGCGCCCAGCCCTGGGGAAAAGCCACCACGTCCTATGGGAATGGTTTTAAGGAGAAGAACCCGCTGCCTACTTTCCGACGGGCGGCGGCACCAGACCAAGCCTGCTCCAGACCAATCCCCGAACATCTCACCCCAAACCCGCCAGGCCCTCCCTCCTCCCCACGTTCTGTCGCAGCGTCACACACACGTGCTCTCACACACATGCACGTGCATTCCCTCACAGACCTTCTCTCACACACGTATGTTTTCTCTCACGCGTTCTCTCTCTCTCGCTCTCCTAGGACCCCATGGACACAGGGCCCTCGGGCATGAGCAGGTACTCTGCGCTCCGACACGAGCTCAGGGAAACTGGGAGCCCCCGAGAGGGGTGCCGTGCCATGTCACGTGAGCATCCTCTGGGGCAAGGACCCAAAGAGCTCTGACCTCGCCGGGGCGGGGGGGGGGGGGTCCCCTGGGGGCAAACCTCTGTCCCAGCAAGAGGACCCGTCCAGCACCGAACCAGCCACCCCCTGGCCGAGGGTTCCTGCCCAATCCCAGTATAAGGCAGGGCCTGGGGCCAGCTCCCCGGGTCGGAGGACAGGCCTTCCTGGCTCAGGGAGGAGGGGACGAGGGAGGCTCCACAAAGAACCACGGGCTCATTCAACGAACATCCAGGAAGCCAGGAAGCGTCACTCACTCTGAGTCACCTAAGCCGGATAAAGACCCTCGGGGCCGCTAGCCTGCATGCCAACGGGTGGGGCGAGGACCGGCAGGAGTCCCAGGGTGGCCCGTGCCTTGCGGGCTTCATCCAGCGCATCCAGGAGAGCAGGGCTGAGCCGTCTAGAGGCATCTGGGACAGGAGAGTGGCCACGGATGGAGGATAAAGCCCAGGAGTCAGCACGGGTGGGCCAGACAAAGGAAGTGATGGGGACCCAGGAGTCAGACACCCAAGACACCCAGGTGGCCTATGGGGTAAAGTCTGAGAGGTGCAGGGAAGGGGGCCACGTGGGTGCCACAGACAGGGGCCCACAATGTGACCAAAGCCTAAGCTCACAGCTGGGACGTACGGGAAGCTGGCTGGACACTGGGGACAGAGACGCAGGGAAAAAAATCCAGGCCGACCACTGAGAAGTCACGAGAGCAAGGCCAGTGGGAGAAGAGATTCCCGGGCCGTTACCCCAGTCCAACAACCCCACACCACAACACACTTTACACCGTCCAGGCAGAGGGTACGGCCTAGTACCCAACTGTCGAAGGGTCCTTGGCTCAACGATGGGCAGGCCAAGGCCAGAGTTCTGATAAAAATGCCGCAAATAGGGGCGCCTGGGTGGCGCAGTCGGTTAAGCGGCCGACTTCAGCCAGGTCACGATCTCGCGGTCCGTGAGTTCGAGCCCCACGTCAGGCTCTGGGCTGATGGCTCAGAGCCTGGAGCCTGTTTCCGATTCTGTGTCTCCCTCTCTCTCTGACCCTCCCCCGTTCATGCTCTGTCTCTCTCTGTCCCAAAAATAAACGTTGAAAAAAAAAAATGTTTTTTAAAAAAATGCCGCAAATACCAACCCTCCCCAGTCCCATGAAGGATTCCAATGGCACGATATGCAAGGGACACAAAAAACACCATCAACCAAGTTCTAGGAAAATATTCAACTTCACCAATAATTGAAAGAAACGGACCGTTCTTCCCTACCGAAATCAGCAAGCATTTTTTAGGCCCTAAGGCACCGGATGTCCCACGAGACCACTAGGACCCAGTTTCTGTCCATCGCACTCGGTCATTCATTCATTCATCAAACACCTACTCTGGCACCAGGTCCCACACTAAGCACTGGGATGATGAACGAGGCAAGGCAGTCACCCCCCTCAAGGACTTAGGATTGAAGGCCTCCAGCTGGCCTGTTCCTAGGAACCTATCTTAGGAAATGACTCAAATTATCAGGAAAATGCGATGCACAAAAATATTCAATGCAACATCCTAAACATGAACACATCAGAGAAGGGAAAACGAGAATGCCCGTGAGAGGAACGGTCAGCTGAGCTATGCTGTGTGCTCTAGACACAATAACAAAAGCCATTAAAAGATTATACACAGAGGCACACCTGAGTGGCTCGGTAGGTTAAGCATCCGACCTGGGCTCAGGTCGTGATCTCACAGTTCGTGGGTTCGAGCCCCGAGTTGGGCTCTGTGCTGACAGCTCAGAACCCAGAGCCTGCTTCAGCTTCTGGGTCTCCCTCTCTCTGCCCCTCCCCCACTCTAGCTCCGTCTCTCTCAAAAATTAATAGCGTTAAAAAAATTTTAATCATACAAAGATCTCACAATCACAATACCAGGAAGGCAGGGAGGAGGTGACAGGTGGGACCCAAGACCCACCTTTAACGTTGCTCAGTGACAGGGAGCGCTCCTGGTCGGCTAGCCCAGGCCCCAGCCGGCCACTGCCGCCACTGTCCTTCTGCCGGGCCACGGCCACCGCAATGCCCACGGGTGGGTGTCGCACTTCTGCCTCCCCCTGGGCACCAGTGCCCTCGCGCCCGAAGGCCTTGGCGCTCTCGGGCCTCTCCGGGTCCCGCTTCAGCTGCCGGCCTCCGCCCGCTGCAGGGCCCGCGGGGTGTGGCAAGCGGGCCTGGGCGCGCGGGGCGCCCGTGGAGGTGGGGGCAGGCTCGGGTTTCATGGTGCCCAGGCCTCCGAAGGGGCTCTTCTTGCCGCAGCCTCCGGGGCGCACGGCCACGGCCTCGCGCGCGAAGCTGCCGCTGTACTTGATGAGGCTCTGCATGGCCGAGGCCTCCCCGGGCCCGTGGGCCGCAGCATGCACGTCGGTGCCCGGCCTGGCGCAGGCAGCCGCCGCGCGGGGCAGCGTGCCCCCGGGGTCCAGGTAGGCCTTCTTGGAGGCGGCCACCGCCTCCTCCTCAGCGCGGCTGGCGTGATGATGCTGCGCGGCCAGCACGGCCATCTGCGTGGTGGCGAAGTTGCCAAGCTCGAAAGGCTTCCACTTGGGCTCAGGGCCGGCGGGCGGGGGCGGCCGCGCCGGCTCCAGGCCGAAGAGCTTGGCGGCCTGCTGGGGGGCGGCGGCCGGCCCGCGGGACGCGCGCTCGCAGGCCCGCGGCTCGGCCTCGGGCTTGAGCAGCTCCTTGGCGGGGAGGTAAGC